CTCCCCCATCACTCCTCCCCCTCCCCTCTCCCCACCAACAAGAAAGAACCATCTGGCCCAAGTAATAGTGCCAAGCTGGAGAAACCACGGTGTCGTCTTTGAAAGAAAGACTATGACAATCTCTATGGTAATAAAGACACCTATTAACAATGACACACATTTTATTGCAGAAACTGGGGAAACTGGGGAGAAGCATGCCTTTTGTCCCCAGGGAGAAGGCAGGAGTGAATTGGCAGGGGAAAGGGAAGGGTTTTGGGGGAGAGGGGAGGTGGGCCTGGGGCTCTCAGGGTGGTCGGCTGGAGCAGTGGGAAGTGCCCTGGTGGGGCCGGTGGCTGGTGTGGGGGTGGAACTGGGGTCAGCAGGCTGAAGGTGCTGAGGGCTGAAGGCTCAGGAGGTGATGGCAGGGGCCTGGCTCTCGGAGCCGGGCGGCAAGCTGGGTGTGCTCAGAGGCGCATGCCCCCCAGGCGAAACTCCTTCCGGGCGCAGGCAAGCCTGAGGTGTCGGGGCAGTGCTGCCCGCAGGCCCAGCGCTCCTGTGGTGGCTCTGCGACCCGGCCTCTGGCGGCCACACTTAATGCAGCGTGGCAGGCGGCCACCAGGGAGAAGTGAGACGATGCTGCATCTCTTCGGAGACACTGCTGGCTCAAAGTGGGGGCATCTTCTCAACAGCCCAGATCTGGGCACAAAGGCACGGGCCACTCCGTTTCTCATCACAGCCTTGAAGGCAGATGGCTTGGGCGCCGGGTTACCTCTGCGCCCCGGCGGGGCGATTTTCACGGTCACCAGGCTGTGGATGGGCTGGGGTTGGCGGATACTGCAAAGCCACTGCCTCATGAAGGCCAGGTGAGCCGGGGAGAAATCGGGCCAGACGTTGCTCTGCAGCTGCGGCCTGTTGGGAAAGCGCCTCCGGGCCTCGGGGATCATCTCTCTCCGGATGCGGGTGTAGTCCCAGCCAGGAGGAGCGGTGGGGAGTGGCCGGGTGCGGTCCCAGCGGTTCCCATGGAAGTAGATGACCTTGCCCTGCTGCTGGGCCTGGGAGCGGATCAAGGGTCTGGACAGCCGGGAACAGTACTTCCGGGTCCGGCGCGGTTTCTGGGCCCAGGGCCAGCCCAGGAAGCGGCTCAGGTAGTTGCCCATGAGAGCGGGGCAGTGGGTCGGGCCTTCCAGTAGACACTGGGCTGCCAGAAGTTTCAGAAATCTGCGGTCAGGCCCAGAGACCAAGTGTCAGGGCTCAGTGACCAGTAACCGTTGGCGTAGAAATGTCTGAAAGCGCACGAGGCGCCGCGTGCAGGGTAGGTCTGGCCACGCCCATACCAGAGCCTCACGGGGCGCAGATGCAGTGGGGGTACGTGGCGCCCCATGCCCTCTGGAGGACTAAGGCGGCTCAAGCTTCGGTCCTCCCCACTGATGGTCCCAGACACTTAGCTCTGGGCAGAGGGGCCTGGCAGCTGCCTCTACTTTTGAACCTGACCTTTAAAGGCAGAACGTAGAAGAGTTTCTGCCACGTCCTGAAAAGTGCAAATACCTGTTGACAGAAGCGTGCTCTCTTTGATCTGTGTGAAAATGATCACAATATACTTGGATGCTCTTTTAAGGAAAAACATTCACCCATATTTGTCTAGGATGGCTGTTAATATCACTTTTTGCAATTTTGCTCTTATGAAAATGGTGAAAGCCATCAGGATTTATGTTTTAGTACCTGTAATGCTGGTTTTATGTTGACCCTCATATAATTTTCTGTGTTCATACATCTATGTATAGATAATCGTCTCTGAACACTAATGCCATTTCTGTTCTTCCATTTCTATTGGTAATCCTGGAGTAGAGTGAAGCAAATTTTCCACTAATAGCTGAAAAGATCTAACTTCAAAAACAAAGAATCCAAAGGCTACTTAGAAATGGTAGTGCATAAGTTTGGAGTCTGTTCAAGGTGGTGTGAAACAATCTTTTTTTGAGGACATTTCCCTCAAAAGCATGTGCAGAAGGAACATATTGAGCCTCTGGAATCCCAGAATCGGGAAGAGACAAAAAAGTCAGCAACCAATTGAAGATCCGGCAATAGATGTGGTCCAGACTGAGGCAGATGGGTGAATAGTAAATAGAACACTAAATAGAGCTTAATGAGGAAGCACCTTTAAATGCTTTTTGAGGTGAGAGGGGGCGAAGTGTTTTGCAATGTAGGGTTGGGGTCAGCCAGTAGTTGTGGGGTAATGAGATCCCTAACCTTCTCTTCTCACTGATGAATTCCTTTGTTTTGCCTGGCTCCTTATTTATGGAATGATTTCTAGGTATATGATTTTGAAAACCTAGAGATATTCTTATGGTATAATTTTCTTCTAAAGACAATTATCATAATGATTGAAATGACTTTTCATCCATATCTAATACGTCTGAAGATAATGGCATCAGAGTGGGTATAGATTTCTTTTCTTTTGAGACAGAGTTTCGGTCTTGTTGCCCAGGTTGGAGTGCAATGGTGTGATCTCTGCTCACTGCAACCTCCGCCTCCCGGGTTCAAGCGATTCTCCTGCCTTAGCCTCCCACGTAGCTGGGATTACAGGTGCCCACCACCACGCCCAGCCAATTTTTGTATTTTTACTAGAGACAGGGTTTCACCATTTTGGCAAGGCTGGTCTTGAACTCCTAACATCAGGTGATCTGCCTGCCTTGGCCTCCCAAAGTGCTGGGATTACAGTGTGAGTCACTGCGCCCGGCCTAGACTTCTTATAATGTATTTTTCTTTCCAGTGTCTATAGAATTCCCCATATCCTTTTAAAAATGCAAGCCAGTGGTTATTATTCTGTTTGTGGCTAAAGACTCTCTGACAAACCACAGTTTTGTCCTGGTGAGGTACACGCAGTTATAAGCGAATCGCCATTAAATATGCCTTCTACTGGTTAATTAAGGTGTTGATTAGTTAAAAACCATTCTCATAGATATTGAAGATGTCAGCTTCTTCTTTTCATACACCAAGAGGTACAGCATTTCAATGGTTAGTTGATATTAGGGATTAGCGTATATCAGTGGTGTTCAATAAGGTGTGAGTTTGCAATGGAGAGGGAAGAATGTCTGGAGACACTTTTGGTTGTCATGACCTGGGGAGTTGGTACTATAGGCAGCTATTGAGTTGAGGCCAGCAATGCAACTAAACATCCTGCAATGCACAGGACAGTCCCCACAACCAAGAATGACCTGCCCTGAATGTCAGTGGTGCTGAGGTTGAGACCCTTCACCCAGCTTCCTCTAATGTTATCTTATGTAATCATGATGCATTCATCAAACTAAGAAATTAACATTGAGTCAATACTATTAAGTAAACTCCAGACTTTAGATCACCCCAGTTTTCCTACTAGTATCCTTTGTTCCAGAACCTACTCCTCCTTGGTCTCCTTAACTCTTGAGTTTTTCTGCCTTGTTTTTCATGACCTTGATGCTTTTGAAGAGGGCTGGTTAGGTATTTTGTAGAAGTCCTTTTTCATTTTGGTTTTGTCTTTTTTCAAGATTTAGATGGGGGATACAAATTTTGGAGGAGGAATGCCATAGAGGTGACTGGTATTTAGGTTGTTTGCAAACAATGGTGCAAAGAATAACTATGCTTATGTATTATTGTTTAGGTCTGCAGTTTATGTGTAGGATAAATTCTGTTTGGTAAATTGCACTCTGATAGCTACTATAATAGTACTAACTTATCGTTTTATCTTCCTTTGATATTGTAATTAACTGTTAGTAAAACAACATACTTTTTAGTTTATTATATCTTTATACATGTGTCATTACCACCTACCAGTAACACATGAGGCTGCCCATGCTCCACACTTGTACCAGCACTGTGGGCAATAAAATTTTGGGGTTTCTGCTAATTTGATAAGTGAAAATTTGTATTTCAGTGTAGTTTCATCTTGTTTCATTGCTTCATTCAGCAAGGTTGAAAATATTTTCACATGGTTTTGGGCTTCTTGTTTCCTTAACTATAAACTGTCTGTTTATACCATTTGCTGTTGATTATTAAAAAACTAATTTCTAGAAACTCTTTACATATTAGGGCAATTAACTCTGTTTTGTTCACTATAATGTCTCAAACACCTAGAAGAGTAGCTGGCATATAGTAGGCATTCAATAAATAGTAGTTAAATGAGTGAATAGAATTGCAAATGTTTTCCCTGTTTGTCATCTATCTTTTGTTTATGGTGATTTTCATCAGAAAGGATTTTAAAATTTTTGTATGCAGTTTAATTGCTAGTTGTTTTCTTGATTACTTCTGGGTTTGATTTATACTTAGAAAAGCTTCCTCCATTTGCATGTATGAAAGAATCTTCCTATGCTTATTCTTGTACTTTTATGGCATTTTTTTACCTTTAAGGTTTTGTTCCATCCGGAATATATTTTTGTCAGGATTGAACGGTGGATCCAACTTTTTCTCCTAAATGTCTGCTCAGTTGTCCCACAATACCATTTACTGGATTTATCTTTTCCTGCATTGAGCTGAGATGCTATCTTTATCATAAAGTAAATTCTCATGTATTTGGCCATTTTTCTGAACAATTTTCTTCCCTTGATTTATCTTTCTATTCATGTGCTAGTGTCATACTATTCAATTATTGTGGCTTTAAAGTCTTATGGGTCTAATCATTCTTTATTTTCTCCTTTAGAATTTTTCTAGCTATTCATGTTTATTTGCTTTTCCATATGAACTCTAGAAGTACTGTATCTAGTTTTAAAATTCTGTTGGTATTTTTATTAAAACCATATTAAATTTATGGAATCACAACTTAAGGAGAATTGACATCAAAGGTGCCTTTATGGTATTTTCCTGTTTAAAAACTGGGTATGAATTTTATAAATTTAAGTCTTCTGTGTCCCTCAGAAATGTTTTATAGTTTTCTTGTTAACATTTTATGTTGTTTATTCACAGTATTTTAGTTTTTTAGTTTCTATTTCTTCTGTTATGTCTTCTAATCGTGAGTTATATATGTCAAAGGAATTGATTTCTATAGATTAACATGGTACTCTACTAATTGCTGAATTATCTTATCTTTGTAGGAGTTTTTAGTGTTTCTCTAATGTTCTTTATCTTTTTTGGTCTAACCTTATTGGCCCCTGCCAGAGGTTAATTCAATTAAATTTAATATTTAGTATGCTAATAATAATGCAGTTAATGATATCCTTTCCACATTAAACATACTATTTATTTTTGAGCTGAGATAAATCTACTTTATCCAGTTAGGGAATTCTCCATTTCTGTTCTATTAAAAATTTTTTTAAAAGAGATGGTGAGTTTTATCTAATGTATTTTGGGAAATCTACGGAAATGATCATATATTTTTTCACTTTAGATTTGTTGATGGGATGAAATCCATTAATCGTTTGTATATAATTCTTAGTACTGAATAATTTTTAGATTATTGGAATAAACCCTACCTGGACAAAGTATATATTTCTTCTAAAGCACTGCTAGATTCTATATCTAATATTTTATTTAGCTTTTTTTTGTTAAATATTTTTCAGAGATATTGGCCTATTGTTACCTTTTTGGGTAGAATGGTCTAATCTATGATGGGTTTTAGTATCACTGTTATCCTAGCTGCATAAAAAAGAGGTTGGAAGCTTTTAGTCAATAAAAATCCAATATGAACAAGTAAATACAGTTATTATTATAGTTTAGTTTACGAATTAAACAGGATTTTGTGTGCTCATGTAGTAACCACCACTTAGACTTAGTTTCTAATAGAAAAATAAATCCCAAGTTTCAAATGACTGATTTACATGAAAATTTCTGGATGAATATTGTTGGATTCTGTCTTTATCCTGAGATTCTATAGCAAAACTTCCTTAAGGATTTTAAAGGATTTTGAATACACCCATTTCCAGCCTTTCTTTTTTGATTTAAAAGGGTCTTAATTTTTATAGAGAATCTACACAATGCATGTATAATAAAAACATATGTCACTGTCAAATATAGATATAAAAAGCTTATGTTATTCTATGTTTTAACTCCTCTCTAGCTAATTTGAAATATCTCTAAATTCATGTCCAAACTGAGACAAGATGTTGGTACCCTTCAATAAAAATGTATAAGTATTACAAGATGTTAAAACTGATGCCACAGTCTGAGCCCAGCCTTGTTTTAAAGGGGGAGACGAGGATTTCCTTAGATGAAAATTGTGGAGAGGACGTACCTGATCATGATCAACCTCTACTGGCTGCTTCTTAATGATCCAGGTGATGGACTCAGTCAGGGGTGAACAAGAGTGATACTGGATCTACTTGTGTCTAGTAATCTAGACAGATGGGCACCAGGCAGGAAGTGCCAAACGACCCAAATTCCATGAGAGTGCCCTGGCCAAGAGACTGAGTCACTGAGTCATTATCTAGAAGTGAAAACCACTCAGGAATCCGACGACTAGGTGATGGTCCTCAGGGAGTATCTGGGGATCAGCAGTGGTCCAGAGGCGCTCCAGGCCCTTCTGGACAGCTTCCTGAAGAATCGCTTCTTAGGATGGAATCATGCCCAGGCTTTGTTTCTGCAATTAACTGTGTATTTTTTATATTCTCCAGCGGGAAAACAGCCAAAACCATTTGATCTCTCAATTCTAGTAAGGATCCAGCAGGTAGTCTCCTTAGTATTGCTGGGAGGTTTTAGACAGTGGCCAGTGCACAAAGGAGGCAGCTTCACTTCTTTAAGGGAGACTGAGAATTGTCCTTTAAAAATAAAATGCAGAAAAACAAATAACCCCATTAAAAAATGGGCAAAGGACATGAACAGATACTTCTCAAGACATAGAAGTGGCCAACAAACATGAAAAATGCTCATGATCACTAATCATCAGAAAAGTGTAAATCAAAACCGCAATGAGATACCATCTTACAACAGTCAGAATGGCGATTATTATTACAAAGTCAAAAAACAACAGATGTTGGTGAGGCTGTGGAAAAAAAGGGAATGCATATACACTGTTGGTGGGAATATAAATCAGTTCAGCCACTGTGGAAGGCAGTTTGGAGACTTCTCAAAGAACTAAAAACAAAGCTACCATTCAATGCAGCAATACCATTATTGGGTACAAACCCAGAGGAAAATAAATCATTCTACCCAAAAGATGCATGTACTCATATGTTCATTGTCACACTATTCACAATAGTGAAGACATGGAATCAACGTAAGTGCCCATCAGTGGTGGACTGGATAAAGAAAATGTGGTAATAGATGTACTATGGAATACTACACAGTCATAAAAAATGAAATCATGTCCTTTGTAGCAACATGGATGCAGCTAGACACCACCATCCTAAGCGAATTAATGCAGGAACAGAAAACCAAATGCTGCATGTTCTTGAGAGAACTAAACATTGAGCACATAGATATAACTGAAGTGGGGAGTGGGTTTAAAAAACTACCCACTGGGTACTATGCTCATTACCTGAGTGATGGGATCTATACCCTAAACTTCAGCATCATGCAACATACTTATGTAACAAACCTGCACATGGTACCGCCATATGTAAAATAAAAGTTGATAGAAACAAACAGATAATGAAATGCAGATCAGGAGAAGCCAAAATCCTGTACTAAAAGGGGAGAGAGGGAAAAAGAGGGAAATGGAGAGAAAAGGAGAGGGAAAGAGGTGGGGACCATAGGGATACAGTGGGGGATGAGAGGGAGAGAGAGAGAATACATGGGCTTCCAGAGAACAGCCCTTTGAGATTCTGAATATTGAAGAATTAATCTTGGGGGGCTGGACAAAGGCATCCGACCTGAAGGATGTGGATTACTGTTCTTTCTAGCTGGACAAGGCAAGTTTCTGTAGAATTGCTCTCTGCTCCCTGCCTGTGGGAGGGTAGCTAGAGAAAAGAAGACTGCTTTGGGTGTGTTCACAAAGACTTAGAAGGAGCTGGTGTCAGAAACAGAGGCGGGGACAGCAATATGTCTCTGAGGCCCCAAGTCCTCAGCAGCACTGCAGCAAAACCAGAAAGCTCACTGCCCACCCACATGATCACTTCTGTACCCTGCAATGCGACCCAAGGCCAGGGTCATTCATAAATTACAGGCCTCCTTCTAAGGCAATGTTCAAAGAGAACCAGAATACAGTTCACCTAGTTAAACTTCCTGATTCAAAGTGCCTTGATAATGTCTCCACTCTGAGATTGAAACATAAAATATATTTCAAGCAATTTAGGAAAAAATACTACTCCATGCTTAGTTGATAGCATGGTATCCACCAATTTCTATAGCTCTTTACGATGTTTGCCTAGCTTAAGAACAACAAATAAGAAAACATTAAAAACAACGGACATCTCACTGTAGAACTGGAACGAAATACGAATTAAAAAAATATGTTTGCCTAGCTTAAGAACAACAAATGAAAAAACATTAAACACAATGGACATCTCACTGTAGGATTGGAATGAAATATGAATTAAAAAGACCATCTGGTGATTACCTAAAAACAAATTAGTCTGAAACTGCTTACACTGGCAATTTAGAATGTTACAAACATTGCTGAATTAAACTGGACAGAGAACACACGAGCAGGCTGTCCAAAGCTGTGCCTGCAGTCCACAGGGAAAGGTGCCCCTGCTCCACGCACCTCCCCGGGCCTTTCTAAGCCTTGGCCCACAGGGACTCTGGAGGCTGAAGCTCTTTAAACAGGCTACAGCACATGAAAGCCAGGCTTTCAGTGCAGGCCCCTAAGTCATCAAGGGCACATCTCAGGAGCCTCAGTATATAAAGCATGTTTTCTATTAATAGCTTTTGTATTTAATGCTTTGACATCTGGGTACTTGTTAACACCACAAGGACTGTCTCTCCCAAGGTTGGCTAATTCCTAGAGAGAACAGACAATTGCAAGAGCGCCTTTCCTGTGTAATCCAGAGCTTACAGCTCCACCATCTCCTTTATCAGACTCTTATACTGGGGCCACTGTTCTCCTGCATCAATCACTCCACTGTCAGGTAACAGCCAAGTGGGGACAGCCCTCTAGGCCCCAGAACACTCTGAAATGATTCAAACTAGCCAATCCCAAGCCTGCTTACCCTGCCTTGCCTGTTTCTTCCCACTGAAACCACAATAAAAGCTCTTGCCCACATTCTCTCCTCACTTTCTCTGCCTCCTGACCAACCCTGGTGCTTCCCCATGTGGCTCTGCATGGTGTGCCATGCCTCCAGCTTCTAGGGAATAGCATCAACTTCTTCCTTCATGACAATCATTCCCATGTCTGCATGTCTTACTATACCTGATTAAAACAAATCCCAGGTACCCTTAAAACAGCCTCCACAGCAGACTAAAGCTGGGAGCATGAGGGAAGCCTGTAGTTGCTGAGCCTGCAAGAGCTCAGGGGCCCCATGAGAGTGTGGTCTGTGGATTTTTAACCCCAGTCCTCCATTAGTTAGCTGTGTGACCTAGCAGGAAAGCACTTAACTTCGTTGAGCTTCACTTTCTTCATCGGAAAAATGGAGACAATAATATTGCCATCAGAGAGTTCTTGGGAAGATAAACTAAGCACTTGGCAAATATGGAGTCACTTAGCACTCATAAATATTAGTTCCCTTCATGAGGATTTTCCAGTTATTTGCCTTTATCTTTCTATTCTGTTTAAAGAATATTCTTCTGTTTAAAATATACTCTTGCCGGGCGCGGTGGCTCAAGCCTGTAATCCCAGCACTTTGGGAGGCCGAGGCGGGTGGATCACGAGGTCAAGAGATCGAGACCATCCTGGTCAACACGGTGAAACCCCGTCTCTACTAAAAATACAAAAACATTAGCTGGGCATGGTGGCGCATGCCTGTAATCCCAGCTACTGCGGAGGTTGAGGCAGGAGAATTGCCTGAACCCAGGAGGCGGAGGTTGCGGTGAGCCGAGATCGCGCCATTGCACTCCAGCCTGGGTAACAAGAGTGAAACTCCGTCTCAAAAAAAAAAAAAAAAAAAAAATATATATACTCTTTTTTAAATTTTTTGAAACAGAGTCTTGCTCTGTCACACATGCTGGAGTACAGCGGTGGGATCTCAGCTCACTGCAGCCTCTGCCTCCCAGGTTCAAGCGATCTTCTTGCCTCAGCCTCCCGAGCAGCTGGGACTACAGGTGCCCACCACCACACCCAGCTAATTTTTGTATTTTTAGTAGAGATGGGGTTTCGCCATGTTGGGCCAGGCTGGTCTTGAACTCCTGGACTCAGGTAATCTGCCCACCTCGGCCTCCCAAAACGCTGGGATTACAGGCAGGAGCCACCACACCTGGCCTAAAATACATTAATTTTACATTTTAACCATTATTTACTTATTTGCCTTTATCCTTTTATACTGGTGCTTAAAAACAGATGTATGATACAAGTCACAGAGGTAATTAATTTTCTAGTAGCCATATTTAAAAAGTAAAAAGAAATAGATGAAATCCTTTTTAATATTTTATCAAATATATTCAAAATATTATCACTTCAACATGCAATCAATATAAAAATTATTGAGATGGTTTATATTTTTTCCATAGTATTTTTAAAAATCTGTTGTATATTTTACACTCAGCACATCTCAATTTGGATGCTACCTTTTCATCAAAAATACTTGATCTATATTTAGATTTCAAAAAATTTATACTTGAAAACATATATACACAAACCCAAGTGGTTCCAAACATTTTTAAAAGTTTTGCTGCCTTTTTTTTTGGAGATAGAGTCTTGCTTTGTTGCCCAGGCTGGAGTGGAGTGGCATGATTTTGGCTCACTACAACCTCCGCCTCCTGGGTTCAAGCAATTCTTGTGCCTCAGTCTTCCAAGAAGCTGAGATTATAGGCGCCCACCACCATGCTTGGCTAATTTTTGTATTTTTTAGTGAAGATGGGTTTTCACCATGTTGGCCAGGCTGGCTTCAAACTCCTAGCCTTAAGTGATCCGCCTGCTTCGGTCTTCCAAAGAACTGGGATTACAGGCGTGAGCTACCACGCCTGCCCCAAAAGTTTTTCAATAACTGAACTGAATAGCAGTTTTTTAAATTGAAATTTAAATGAATGAGAAGTAAATTAAATCCTCATTTTCTAAGTTACACCAGCTACATTTCAAGTGCTCAACTGTCACATGTGGCTTGTGACCACTATACTGGATGGCACAGTTTCATGCCATTTAAAATATATTCTTAACAATCCTGTATTTCAGGCACTATTTATCTTACCAGTGTATGGATCCTAATATTCTAAAGTAAATAACAGTATTATAATGTTCTATCTCTGCATTCTAGAATACAACATATCATTTAAAGTTGGTAAGATTTTTTACCTTTAAAAATACTCCTATCACAGCCAAGTTATTTTCTTCCAGTGCTGTATCCTCAAAGTTTTCAAATTTGACTGCATTCCAATGCAGCTGAAACACCATGAAAAGAGGGTTAACACGTGACTATACAGGATCTCTCTAGAATAAACCCACAGCTTCAGTCAACCTATGACATTTAAACATGATTCCTTACCCAAAGTCAAGCCATTAAGAAAAGCACATGACAATCCAAAATGAGATAGAAACAAAGATCAGGGAGAAATTTAGGCAAGAACAGCAATTAATATTTATTTGGAATAAAAGGATTGGGAAAAAAATAAAGTAAAATTCATATAGCAAACTGAGTCACATTTCAGTAAGGGATCAACATTTACTCATTCCCATTCTGATTTGCATGAAATACTCACAGCCAAAATCCATTTATATCTAAAGGAGAGAAAATGTTTATATGGAGACAAACAAATTCTCCTTATGGGAATTAGACAAGAGTTGAAGACAGGCCAGGCACGGTGGCTCACACCTGTAATCCCTGCACTTTGGGAGGCCAAGGCAGGTGGATCACTTGAGGTCAAGAGATCGAGACTAGCCTGGCCAACATGGTAAAACCCCGTCTCTACTTAAAAATATATAAAAATTAGCCGGGCATGGTGGTGGGTGCCTGTAATCCCAGCTTCTCAGGAGGCTAAGGTGGGAGGATCGCTTGAACCCAGGAGGTAGAGGGTGCAGTGAGCTGAGACTGCGCCACTGTACACCAGTCTGAGTGACAGGGCAAGACTCTGTCTCCAAAAAAAAAAAAAAAAAAAAAAAAAGCAGAATACTGATTGCCAGGAGCTGGAGGGAGGGTGAATGGGGCACGACTGTTTAACAGGTAAAGTTTCAGTTTTGCAAGATGAAAGAATTTCTGGAGATGGATGGTGGTGATGATTGTACAATAATGGTAATGTACTTAATATAACACTACTTAACTGTATTCTTAAAAATGGTTAATATGATACATTTCATATTATATGTATTTTACCACAATTTTTTTTTAATTCCAATGAGTTCCATGCCATTGCTCACAAAGAGGTCAATACTACCATGAAGAGAGTTTGATGTTTCCATGTTAACATGACACTGTTTCTTTAACTCCTTACAAGACCACCAGATCTTGCTCTCACCTGATTTATCTGTAGAATCTTCAAATTCCACAAAGAACGAGTACCCGTTATTCCAGATGTGGAGGCAGGTGGCTGGGTCATAAGAGATGGTGAGTGGTTTTAAGCCGGGATCATAAACACTGTCTCTCCACCAGATGTTCATGGGTGACTGTTGATTGCCCCCAGGAACCAGGTCCACGCTCTCCCACAGTGGATGCACTAGGAGAAAGCAGGTCAGGCTTTTATCAAGACTGTCCACTATCTAGCAGCACACATGAGACAATTCCCCTTCTGGAGACCCTGTCAAGGCTAATGGAAACTAAGAGCTTTAGCAATTAGCCATTCAAGGCCTTAATCAGTTGACCAAAGCAAAGGTTAAAAACAAATCAGAAAGCACTGTGCAGAGGAACAGCATTCTGCCATCTTGAAAATCTAACTCGTCTCAGTCTGCCTACTAGGCTCACCTAAACCAAGTGCAATCAGTCCTGTGATAATAGTAAAATGCATGGAGATTAGTGCCATGTGGAAATAGGTATTCATAAATGAGTTTCTTTTCTTCATTGAGAATTTCCCAAGCCCTAAACCCCAAACTAGATCTAAATACAAATTAATTCAGTTTCCAATAACAGACTTCTTTTCTTTTTTTTTCAAAAAAAAAAAAAAAATGAGGGAAGAACTTTGCGAAAGGAAACATTCAATCAAGTACTGTCAGTATTTAATTGGTTGGCTGGTAGAAATAAAGGCTTCTGTAGCCTGCATCTTGTAAGATGCTCACCCCGCATAATTGTGGGTGCCGGGTTGAGTTCTCCTCCTATGTAAACAAACTCTGAGTACCAGGCAGCCATCCTGCAAAACCTGGGTAAAATATGAGCATTGCTAAGGTCCCTGGAGGTCGCAGTGTGTCACAGGGATGTGCAGATTATCTATTAAGGTATACATATATCTATTAAGGTATACAATTCATCCCCCATGGGCACTGATGACATTGCTGATGCTGATTTTCTTCCACAGAGTCAAGCACCAGGTCTCTGGACCAAGCCCCTGTTAAGTATCAGCAGACTTGCTGATAAGACAGATAGGCCTGTTGAGACCTTGTGTGATGAGTAGAACCAGTGTACATCAGTTTGGGGTGGTCCATTTCCCTGTCCTTAGAAGTACCATGGATGGGTAGAATCAAGAACAGAAAAACTAGGAGAAACATGAATAGAGAAGTCACCACCAACGACCCTCTGCATCTCGCCCCACCACTAAGAATAAGGATGAGACTAACGTAGTTGTTTTGTTAGTCAAATCCCCCGTGTATGGCAGCATCATCCTCCTATTTCCATAAAAAGCAGAAACCTGCTTCTGGTTTACTCTGACAGGAGCGATAGTTCTCCTGCTTCAGTAGCAACCCAAAGATGGAAGTCTAAAATCTTAGCTTTGGCTTTTTATTTTTTGTGTGTGTGGGGATAGGCAAAAGTTTCCCAGCAATATAGACAATGAGCTCTCTTGGGAGTGTCCAGACCAGTGATCTCCACAAGGAGAGTGCCTATGGTCCCAGAGGACATTTGGCAATGCCTGGAGACATTTTGGATTGTCACAACTGGAAAGGGTGCCAGTGCCATCTAGTGGACAGATGCCAGGGATGCTGCTAAACATTCTACAAAGCACAGGAGGAAGCCAACACTGCAAAGAATTATCCAGCCCCAAATGTGCCCCAGTTGAGAATCCCAGTCTATAGAAACTCCAAATATTCTTCTTTTTTTTTTCTCTCTTTCTTCCTATAACACAGTATTCTTTTATCTCCAAAGAGATCTGAACCTAATTTTAAAAATTAACTTCACCTTTTACTACAGATTAAAGGGTACACATGCAGGTTTGGTATATGGAGTGACACTGAGGCTTGGGGTCCCAATGGTCCTGTCACCCTAGCTAGTCAGCATAGTACCCAACAGGTTGAACCCAATGTTTTTATTTTTCTTAGTATAAAAGAATTCCTTGCAGAAGAAGAATTTTCTGTTTTAGGAGCCAAAAATTAAAAATGCATTTGAACTGGCACAATATTTCAATATTGTAATCTGATCAGAATGCAGATTCCTTCTAGAAAGCCCTTGAAAGGCCCTGATTCTATTTTTAAAGATTCCTGACACAAAGAGACTACACCTCTTCGTCTCTGAGACACTCAGACTGTGGTTGATAGTTTCAGAATTCACACTCTTCAAAGCCATTCAATGAGGGTCTCCTGTGAAAAACAGGGAAGAACTGGAGTTATCAGGTCCCTAAGACGATGCCTTGGTCACCCTTAATTGTTCCCCATCTTATTCATGAAATAGGAAGTATCAACATTTACACCCATTCAAATGCCTCAATTGCTCTTTAATAGCCATAATGCTATGATCAATTTATGCCCTTGAGTTTACAAGTTCAGTTTCCAGAAGGTTTTGTTTCCTCATATTCACTTCCTCCTTTTTAAACAAAGACCATCTAGGCTAGACCATCCAAACCACTGTGTAGGGAGGCAGTCCTTGGTTACTATTCTCCAGTTGAAGCCAACTTTTTGCCAAGGGCTTGTTTTGCTAGTGATAAGCTCACACTTTTCTTTTCCTCTCCTCTTCCCTTCTACCATTTTGACAAAAATACAGATAGAATGGTTTCTTGGCAGTTGTCATACTTTCCTTCAAAACAGGAATCTGACGACAAAGCATTCTAACAAAGGCTTCATTTTCAGGTTTTTCTTATATGTAGAAAATGAAATTGTGACTATTTCAATCATGGTTTAAGTGAGCAAAGGGCACTCTGTCATTAAAAAGGTGTCAATAATCCGTCACTGATGAGCCACAAAACTCCTTTAGATTTCATGATGAGGATGCACTTGGTCTTAGTTCTCATTTGTATGCCTGGTCCTGGGTTTGATTTATTTTATGCTTGCACCACCTATTTCTCTAGCCTGTTGTGTGTCCCTGGGCCCTTCAAATGTAGAAAGCTCATTTCTGCCTCAAGCCCCTCAGTTCCTGATTCTCCTCCTCTGCTGGAATCAATTTCTCCTCATTTCACTTGGTGCTGGCTCCTGTTATTGCCTTTTCACTTCCTCTCCTTTTTGACTACCCTCTTATAACATGATAGGACTCTGGTTTTGTCCTTCACAACATTATTATATGGGTATAGTTATAATTATATGCATACACGCTTAGTTAAAGGCCTCCTCCACTGCTCTGCAAGCAAGCTGGCTTTCAACTACTACAGTGGATCTAATTAATCAGATGAAGTGTATCACTGAAGAAGTTTGCTTCTTTTTACCTTATTTCCCATTACCCTCACGGATCACAGTATTTTTCTTTAACAATCGTTCAGGTTTATCTCTTCCTCGCGTTGCCGAGACCACTAGCCTAGTTCAGAACTGTATGCCGCAGACGTCACACAAAGCTTCTTGGTCACTTGTCCTCTTTTCTCACTTCCCTGTATCCCCTGAGTTCAGCCACTCAGCAGTTTTCCCAAATTACCAGCTTTGTCGGGTGCTCCTGTGCTAAAGACAGTACATCAAGTGGAAACTTCTGTGTCCAAGTGCCTGTGTTTTTCTATTAGTACACCCCTCACTTATCTAATCATTTCTCCTCATTCTTTCCAAACCTGGTGTTCCCATGCTGCCCCCTTGGTAAATCCTAAATGAATGGTGCTGTAAATGTAAAACACCCAACAGGCTTTGAAGATGTGGTACAAAGTAAAGAATGTAAACTCAGTAATAATTGTTATATGGATCACATGTTAAAGTGATAATATCCTGATATACTGGGTTAAATAAAATGTTACCGAAATTAATTTCGCCGATTTTCTTTTCCCCCTTTCTAATGTGACTATTAGAAAACTGAGAATTACATATGTGGCTCGCATTATATGTCTATAGGACAATGCTGCCCTATACCCTCATGTGCTTTTTATCTGGTCCTTTGCTATGTACTACCTTTCTTATGAGGGATGTGCTATTTCCTCATGTAGCTGAAGACCATCTGTGTAGGCCTTGGCTTTAGTGCAGTGATGGGATACACAGGGACCCTCCGTATGACTTGGCTGAGGATGATCGCAGAATCACAAATTGCCTTGTTAGGGCATCATCGGCACTTGGCTGCCGAGTCCATTAGCCACAGGATACACAGGATATCCTAAAAGCACACATTTCCTCGTGGTCAGTTCTAGGGCTAATGGTCAGTCCCAGGCTCCTAATCCTCCCATTGCTTCTCTTGAAAGTTAATGAAAGACAACACAGTCTGAGGCATCCTAGCCTCTATCAGGTGTCCTTAGGAAGATACTGCAAGACAAGCCTTTTAACACAACTGTCCTCATCTGTACAAACCCCCATGACAAGTTTACCTATATTACAAACCTGCACACATACCCCTGAACTTAAAATAAAAGTTAAATTAAAAAAACAAAAAACTATTGTTCTCCAGGTTTTGGTTCTTCAAAATTAATTGGAAAAATAATAGAACTTTATAACACAGTTCAGTTATAATATAGATCACAGTGCTGTCAAATACAACTTTCTCTATAGATGAAAATGTCCAGTATGGTAAGCTGTAGGCACATGAGGCTATAAAATGTTAATGCATTTAAATTTACATGTAAATACCCACAACGGCTACATTTAATTGTGGCTACATTTTAGACAGAGCCATTCTAGTCCAAGTTATCCTAAAAGGAAATGTTTCTTTTCTAAAAGTAGGGAGATCATGAACATTAAGAATCATTGGAATAAATATTAAATTTGTACTATTTACATTATAGCTGATACTCTTTATATGTAATTAAGAATTAACATTATCAAATTAATTTTCCTATGGTCCAAGATCTCATGCCTAAATCTTTTTTTTTTTTTTGAGACTGAGTCTTGCTTTGTCACCAGGCTGGAGTTCAGTGGTGTAATCATGGCTCACTGCAACCTCCGCCTCCTGGCTTCAAGCGATTCACCTGCTTCAGTCTCCCGAAGAGCTGGAACTACAGGTGCGCGCCACCACGCCTGGCTAATTTTTTGTATTTTAGTAGAGATGGGGTTCACCATGTTGGCCAGGATGATCTTGACCTCCTTACCTTGTGATCTGCCTGCCTCAGCCTCCCAAAGTGCTGGGATTACAGGCGTGAGACACCGTGCCCGGCCGCCTAAATCTTTTCATGTGATCATTATGCTAAATTTCACTAGATGATATACTAAGTGAAACTGATTTTATTTTCATATTGGATAACAGGTATAGGCCTTTATTTTTATCTTGTTATATTACAAGTCCCCAAAGTTAGGACTATTAACAGTTACTGTCTGCTACTTGAGATAACAGCAAACAGCAATCTGAGTTGACAGCTAAAGATTATCTCCGGGGAGCATTGGGAGCAAGGATATGAGCACAGGGCACAGGGCTGACCTGAAATGCTGCTTTCTGGAATTTGTCACCAACCTCTTACTTTCACTCACTCTTTATTGTTTTGCCTCCTCTTAAAATGGTCAGACTTAGACCTCTGAGGCAGGCACTGAGCCTATGATGATGATAGTAATCGTAGTACTAGAAAGAAAAGAACAACTGAGTTTCTTTTCTTTCTTTTTCTTTCCTTTTTATTTTTGAGACAGAGTCTTACTCTGTTGCCCAGGCTGGAGTACAGGTTCCAGCTCACTGCAACCTCCGCCTCCCAGGTTCAAGTGATTCTCCTGCCTCAGCCTCCTGAGTAGCTGAGACTACAGGCATGCACCACCATGCCTGGTTAATTTCTGTATTTTTAGTAGAGATGAGGTTTCACTATGTTGGCCAGGCTGGCCTCCAACTCCTGACCTCAGGTGATCTGCCCTCCTAGGCCTCCCGGATGAGCCACCGTGCCTGGCCTCACAACTGAGTTTGTAACCCTCAAGAATCTTGGGTCATTCTTGGTCACAGGTGTACACTAACCTTTCACTTGGGTACTGAGCTTTCAGAAACAATGAGAATTGTATTTACAACTGAGCAGATGAGGGTCCAGAATATAGGAATAGGACCTGTTCAAAAGCCCAGGGGAACAAAGACCACAATATTCTTCATGGGGCAAACAGGTTGGAACAGTGAAATATACCACAAACAAAATCAAATGTTGACTGGCACCTGTTTTTTCTAGTAAGTTAGAAACAAGAACACATCATATAATATAGCTAATTAATGAAGGGAACCCCACCTCCTCGGGGGGACCACTGTTTGGTTTCTGTTGGCACTTTTGAAAGCAGCAAACTATCCTAATGGCATAGGCTGACTGGACTTTAGGCATTTAACTTTCAACTTTCTGTAAATAAAGACAAACAAACTAAAGATCAAGGCAAAAACCTCAAACTCACACAAAACGTTAGTAACTAGATAAACATGACTAAATTTTTTCCATGTTAAGCCTTAGAATGTACAGTGCCAGGGGTCGGAATTATCCAGTTTGGGTAGGATGTCGGCACATCTAGCAACCATAAATTTGTTATGAACCCGGCCAACTTGTTTTAATGAGAACACAGTCAATGTTGGTAGAAAACAAAATAATATAAATAAAAAATAAAAATTATAATAAAAAATATTTCTGAAGCAGTTTTAAGGCAATGGATCCAGCTAGAACAACATTATTAATGGAATTCCTTTTCTTCTGTGCACGGAGGTTCTCAGATCCTGAAACAAGCCAATATTTGAAAATTATGTAAATTCCTTGTGAAGAGTAGAAAATATATTTAAAAAGCTAAAAGATATACTTAGCCAGTTC